ACTTCAACTTTATACATCTTTGGTTTGACCTTAAGATTCTACTTCTCAGTTCAAGTCTTCATAAACAAGATGAACATACATGCTCTCGAAAATACAGAAGGAAGGATAACGAAGATTATTCCATGTATAAAAAATCTTACCTAAGAAATAGGCTGAATGCATTGAACCTGAACTCTTTAGAAAGGCGTAGAATGTGGGGAGGTGTGACTGAAGGGTGCAAATGGAAAATATGTAACCAAGATGAGACTCGCAGCAATGAACTGAAGTTGGAGAAATTTAGATTTAGAAAGGATATCGGGAAGTGCTGGTTTGGCAGTAGAGTTATAGACGAGTTGAACAAACTCCCAGGTAGTCACTTACGCAAGAATTTTGGGTAGCTTTAAATATAGGTTGGACAAGTACATGAGTAGGTGTGGGTGGGCGTCGAACTGATCTGCCTAGCCTGGGAGAGTAGGCCTACTGATTGTTCCTTCGTTCTTGTGTTTTTATGACATTTTAAGTTATGGTACATGTTATGACACTATTTGATGTGACACATGTTGCGATACTGTCTGATATGGAACTTTCTGATGCTTTGACTGTTGATGACGCTACTTAATGTTACAACAATATTATAACACTGATTTGATATCACTGATGCTATGGTGCTAACTAATGTTGCTATGGCACTACAAGATATGACACACCCTGATGTTACGACACTTCCATACCTTATGACACTACATATCAAAATACGGCTTCATATTGATAAAGACACCGCTAGCAAGAAAATGTTTTCATTGTGTCATCGCTTCACTCTGTAGAGTTCTACCATGAACATGATATAGCTCTACAAAGAGCCAATTGTTGTCCTCAATGAAAGAAAACTTGACCGTCTATTATCCAGATGAGGTACTTTTGCTGAGAGATAAGCTACAAGTTACCATGTAAATTCTTCAAAATTATGCGGGGTTTTCAATTGAGACAGTCATATTTTGAACCATTGATGAAAAAGTACTTGTTCATAACTAAAAAAAAACATAGCCTAACCTAATCTATATTAGGAGTTAAATTTTTTTAATTACCCCCCCCAAAATTTCATAGGCCCAAAATAAAGCTGCTTCTGTTGCACAACTCACTCAGTGTTGGAGAATTTACACACAAAAAATAGGACCTCATCTATATATTTACCACTTCATCTCCCATATGTTTTTCTGCTTTTGCCAGCTGTGTCATTAAGCTTCACCAACTAACGTTATTGGACAAGGTTGACATCACTTGATAAGTGCTGACATATGACTGCACAATATGATATGAGATACCAGGTGACAATATAATGAAAAAGGAGAAATGTAGGCAGATTATGTTAGAGGACTGAAGATAAAGCTGATCACGTTAAAGCAAGGGTCGCCAACCTGCGGCCCGAGGGCCGCATGTGACACTTCTAGGCAATGGATGCGACCCTCGCATGATATTATGAATTTACTTTTATGTAGGTTCCACACTGCATTGTCAACGTTACAAAATACTTAAAGCCATTTTAAACTAAAACCTTATCGCCACCTCTAACAACCACCTTTCACTTCTGGTCAGTGCCTGTTTATCCTAGTAGCACATGTAGCACCTTCTACTAGATATCTACATGTCTGAACCAAGTGTTAGAAATTGTTCTTTTATATATTTAATTTTCTAGATGTTAGGAACGAAATGAACACTCAAGGTACTTATGAGCTTAACTGTTTGCGATTGTGTGCTTAATGACCTTAACCATATATTCAGTATGGAATTACGGCTAGCTATGAGTATAATGTTACTTTCGATCAATACAAAATTCGACCCTCCTTTAAATTATTCGGCCCTCTTTTAAATTTGGCTTTTCAAATTGGCCCTTTCATATTAATTGGTTGGGAACTACTGATGTAGAGGATGACTGGAGAACGATAGACTAGGACTGGAACAGGATAGATGGGAAATAATAGAGCACGATAGACTGGAATTACTGGAACACGATAGAGGAACGAATGGAACATGTTAGACTGGAAGGAGTAGAGCATGGTAGACTAAAAACTGGATGACGATAAACTGGAAGGATTGGATGACGATAGACTGGAAGGGTTTGAACACGAGAGATAGGCTGGGAGGGAGCACTGGAACATGATAAAATGTTAGGAAATGAGATAGATAGGATCAAGATACAATAGACGGGAGTTCTTAGGGTACAGTAGATTGCAATACAAAACTGGTATACTTGTAATACCATAGACTGGAACACGATTGTGAGGAAGGACTAGAAGTCAATAGACTGGACAGACATTAGACAGTATACTGGAAATTGTGTAATTTTGTTTAAAGGGGCTAATAAATCATATATAATGTTTGATGGGACAGATATCAGCCATGCAGTGTCTGATATAGGGCACGATGTCAGCTGTACACTAGCTGACACAAATATCACAGACGTAGCCCACTACAGTTACGTCTGTGGTGACGCCATCAACACTGAAATACCATCATAACTTTTATATTCCTGTCAATATCTTACATTCCAGGTGAATATTCCAGTCGACGGCATTTTGTTATGGGGAGGGAATTCCTGAGCCTCGTTCTCACGCATACTTATAGATTTATATTTACACATAACGTGTCTTATGTATTGATCACTTGATGCTGGTGAAGGCTCTTGATTCAAGGAACTGAAGCTACCCTTCCCCTTTCATCGATCTTAAGTACTTTCCCTTTTTAAATGCACAATGTGACCTCCTTACACCATTGATGTTCCTCATTATTTTCGATAATCTAAATATTTTTTTGCTCTTGTTTTTTCATTAATGGTTAAGCGCCAGATCTATAAGGGTCATACAGCGCCTAGTAAATAAAAAGCAATGAGCTTCATACCAACTGAAGGACACGTCGAGTTCCTTGGATCAAGAACCCCTCATAAGCATCAAGGTCCATACCCGGAGAGAGGGTATTATGAGAACATAATCTACCTGAAGGGAAAACTTAATTATATACGAAAAGTTAAACCATTGTTTACTCTTGTGAATATTTTAACTTGGTATTTGTTCACACTCGAGAGGAAAGTATATATGGCGTTTGGGTCCGTCATGAATCATTATTAAGTGTTACAACTTGATAATCTGGGACGGACCGAAACGTCGTCGTGTCCTGGCCTAAGTGTAGGTTACGGCTTGACAAAGCTTCTGGAGAGCTAAACGTTGTGTAGTGTTACATCCATGGAATCATGGCTTTTGTTCTCTTAGTAATGGTGATTATTTTTACCCCCGGAATAAGACGACTTTACATCCACAGTACTAAATCTGGAGTGACAGTCAAGCAGGTGTCAAATCTTGAGTGACAGCCTAGCAGGAGGTGTCAAATCTGAATGACAGCCTAGCAGGAGGTGTCAAATCTGAGTGGCAGCCTAGCCGGTGTCAGATCTGAGTGGCAGCCTAGCCGGTGTCAGATCTGAGTGGCAGCCTAGCCGGAGGTGTCAGATCTGAGTGGCAGCCTAGCCGGAGGTGTCAGATCTGAGTGGCAGCCTAGCCGGAGGTGTCAGATTGAGTGGCAGCTAGCCGGAGTGTCAGATCTGAGTGCAGCCTAGCCGGAGGTGTCAGATCTGAGTGGCAGCCTAGCCGGAGGTGTCAGATCTGAGTGGCAGCCTAGCCGGAGGTGTCAGATCTGAGTGGCAGCCTAGCCGGAGGTGTCAGATCTGAGTGGCAGCCTAGCCGGAGGTGTCAGAGCTGAGTGGCAGCGTAGCAGGTGTCAGAGCTGAGTGGCAGCCTAGCAGGTGTCAAACCTGAGTGACAGCCTAGCAAGTGTCAAACCTGAGTGACAGCCTAGCAGGTGTCAAATCTGAGTGACAGCCTAGAAGGAGGTGTCAAATCTGAGTGACATCCTAGCAGGAGGTATCAAATCTGAGTGACATCCTAGCAGGTGGTGTCAGGTCTGGAGTGACAGCCAGTTGTGTCAAATCTGAAATGATAGCCTAGCAGGGGATATCGGAAATTTATTTTACATAGGATAGGCTGGCGTTATGGTCACAGTCATCAATCAGTTAACGTCTCTGTTAGCGGTATTACCCTCACATTACATCAGTTACACTATTTCAAAAAAAAAAAAAAATCACGGAGAATCTAAAACACTAAATCATTAAATATCAATTATTTTTAAACAAACTTTGCGCTCTTGAAAAATCTAGGCCCCGTCCATCAATATTGGTGATAGACTGGGAAAGTAGGATAGACTTCATTATCTCCGTCCACTTCCTCTCGCAGTCAACCACCTCGTCTCCTTTATTGTGTTAGGGCGGGGCGAAGGGTTCCCAAGGAGGATATAAACAGTGCAGGTACTTGGCATACTCGCACACTACTACTCTCTGGTGATCCATGGATTTTTACATGGAATGGAAAAACCTACCATCACATGAATGCGGAACAGAATTTCTGTATAAGGTGGAGAGATAAGCCTGTGGAAAGCCTTACTTACATAACCGAAAGCTCCACTGGGAAGACCATCATCATACGACTTAAACCTGCTTGTGAAAAACTCAGATATTTCTCGTGACGACATATCACACCAGATCACCTCTCGTAGAGAGGCGGCAGCTTAGCAATGTCGAGGTTACATAGATGAGTAATCCTACAAACATTTGATGAAAAACACCCATATATACTTGGAAAGAATTATAAACTAATACGTAATATATTATTTTTAAAAATATCAAAGAAAAAATAAACAGGAAAACCTGAACGATTTCACGTGCTTACACATATTTTCCTTTGAGGATGTGTGAAAGCGCTAGGGTTTTCCTGTTTATTCTCTCATTCATTCATTAATATATATATATATATATATATATATATATATATATAATATATATATATATATATATATATTGTTATTTAACCTGTGTGAGCTATGCACATACGATATTCAGGTCGCCCTGTTTATTTTATTCTAAGAGTATTCAGACTTGTAGAAAACATTGTCGCTAAAATCTAAAATACTTTACAACTTGCAACAAAATTTTGATTAGTTTCCTGATCTACAGCCTAACACCCGCCAGACCAAACAGAATTATACAACGAGCCTCTAAACACTATCTTCTAACGGCCGACGGCTATTTTGTTAATGGTCGACGTATGTTTTAATGATCGACATTTGTGTTATTAATGGCCAATGTCTATTTTATTAATGGTAGACAGTTTGTTTTGTTAACTATGAAGACTTTGTTTTAGTAATGATCACCAGATTTTACAAAAGTTTACGAATATTTTTGGTCTATACTTATTTTTTATGGTCGATGCCCATGTTGTTAACTGCCGATGCGTATTTTTTTGTAATCTACATAGTTTTGTTAATGGGTCGACCCCTATTTTTTGCAGTGATCTACAGCCAATTTTGTTAATGGCCAACTCTTATTTTTTCCAGTCGACACCCAATTTTGTTAATGGGTCGACGCCTATTTTGTTAATGGTCAATGTCTATTTTAGCCACTTTGTCGACGGTGGTCATCTCGATGTGGCAGTACTCGGAGCTGAGAGCAGACCTGGGGGGCACCTCCGAGGAGGGGGTGTCGTGCCCCCCGGGGAAGCCTACGCAGCGCACCAGTCGCCGCCCACGCCCACACGGGCGCCACGACCTCCGACACGCCCGGCAGTTCAGCCCGTAGTGCGCCAGCGTCTTGCGGAACGCCTTCCTGAAGTCCCGGTTGAAGTAGGCGTAGATAATGGGGTTGAGGGTGGAGTTGAAGTATCCTGCAGGAGGGAAGGATGAGTTACATGGGGTTCATACATGCGTCGAAGATCAGGCGCGCGCGCGCACACACACACACACACACACACGATGCAGTAACTTTTGTTTTTACAGAAATCAATTTTACAGGCTACGAACTGTTATTGTGCCTCTGCTTATTTCGAAGCTCCGGCCCTATCTAAGGTATACTACCCCCTTCCCCAGGATGCTACCCACATCAGTCGGCTAACACCCAGGTATCTGCTTACTGTTAGGTAAACAGGAGCAGCAGGTGTAAGGAAGCATGGCCAACGTTACAACCCGTACCGAGGATCGAACCTCGGACACTCATTATGTGAGCTAACTACATAGGAGGTATACACACAAAACATTACGTATAACGTGTGTGCTATGTGTGTGAAAAATTATACGCCTCTGTGAGGATTTGAAAATCCACCTAGTTACCTATCTTGCAAGTTCATTAGGAATGAACACCTGACTCTGACTCAGGAACCTTAACTAAGTACTCTCATATATCAGGAACCCCTAACCAGGTACTCCAATATCTCGAGGAAAACTTACCTATCTAACTGCGAACTTTTCCGCCTCCAGGAATGCAATCATTTATCATAAACAAATATTCGTGTTGCATTAAATGAACTCTTCTGTCCCCTCATCCGTGAATAATTCCCCCCGTGGGGCGGATGGAGAGGATTGTGGTAAGGACTGTCCTCGAGAAGATTCCTGCCCTGCATCACTTTTCGTCTATATCCCAGGATACTTTTATCATGGGGACTCGTCCAACTGGACGACTTGTATATCTCCTAGTACTCAGGTGTGCTGGGAAAGGAACTTCAGGATTTCCCAGGAGGTTTTTAGCTATATCCTGGTCAGGGGCAGATCTACTATGAAACTAATGAGCTTAAGCTTCAGGGCCCCCTAATCCCGGAGGGGCCCCAGAAGCGACTTTAGTCCACATTGCTTAAAAATTTTGGGTCTTCTGTATGAGAAAGGGTTGCGAAGGGGCCCTCATAACTATTCAAGCTTTAGGGCCCCAAAAATGTAGGTCCGCCACTGATCCTGGTAGGGGATTATTGTAGGATCTGACTTACCTATCCAGAAGAGGATAGTGACGAGGGTGTCAGGGACGGCACAGGCCGGGCCACAGAGAGCAGACACCAGGTACCAGGTGAAGAAAGGCAGCCAACACAGCAAGAACACTGACACGATGATTCCCAGCGTCTTGGCCGCCTGTGAGGCAAAACATGGAATTACTTCGTGAGTGGGAGGTTGGCAGGGTGGGTGAGTGGGAGGTGGGTGAGTGGGAGGTGGGAGGGTGGGTGAGTGGGAGGTGGGTGAGTGGAGGTTGGCAGGGTGGGTGAGTTGGAGGTGGGAGGGTTTGGCAGTGAGTGGAGGTTGGCAGGGTGGGTGAGTGGAGGTTGGCTTGGTGAGTGTTAAGTAAATAAATTTAAGTACAGATACACAAGTAGTTACATACATTTAGGTGATCACAATTATCATATATAATAACATATATGTAAATTACCTACAACAATCCCCAAAAAATCAGACGAAGTGAATGGTAGGGAGGCGGAGGTGAGTGTGAGAGGAACACTGGGAGTGGGAAACGGGGAGGGTGAGCTGGAGAGAGGCAGGGTGTGTGAGAGGGCAGGGTGAGTGGGAGGCAATCAGGAATGGTGTCTGTGTGGAGGAGGTCGTGTGGGGGAGGGTGGCGGTTAATGGGAGGGAGGGGAAGGGAAAGACATGGGAGGGACGAGTACGAGGGGGAAAGGTAAGGAGGGTGGGTTTATTAATAATAATAAAAGTACAAGGTATACAGACCTAGCTGGCATCAGTGACATACTAGAAAGCCCCTATTTTACTGCTAGGTGAGCAGGGACAACAGGTATCTTAAGGAAACACGTCCCAATATTTCCAGCCGTACCGGGGATCGAACCATGGACCTTAGTGTGTGAGCTGAGTGCGCTAGAAGGTTGAGGGGAAGGAGAGTGGTGTAGGACAGACATCGTATCCAACAACAGTCTCTGAAATTCTTAACATTGGTAATTGGAATGGTAATTAAGAATGTTAACAGGGATAGAAGAAATAAAGATGACAATAGAAGGATCAATATTAGCTGCATTAAGAGAGAAATGGACACTAATATCCAATTTCTTAAGTAAAAATGACAAATTTGGACATAGTCCAAAACTAATTCAAAGATTCCACTTAGAAAGCCCAGCTAAGAAGTCATTCTATTATTATATCAGAGAGACCAATTAACTAAAATACATCAGTGCATTAAGTAAGTTTATTTAGGTACAGGTACACATAAGTACAATTATCATACCTAGTAATATATGTATAAATTATCAATAATAACCCAAGAAAGTCAGTGACATTTCATTGGGGTCTTTGTAATATCTTATTTAAAGCTCAGAATTTACCGTCTCAAGTTATCGTTGTTGAAGGTTAAGACAACTGAATGACGCACTGAAACAGTCGCATGACCAACACACACCAAAACAATTCCGAAGTTTTCTCTGTTCTGACTTAACAGCGTTAAAGGTTAAGTATGCATGCAAGTAATTACGTTTTATTAAATGATAATGTAAATTTAACCTCAGATAGCCCGAGTCAAACACTGATTTATTTCTTATCAGAAAAGACATTCTCCAGTTACTTCACAGAAACCAATTTGATAAATAAATTTGCTATATTAAAACTTGCATCACCACCACCACCACCATCACCACCATCAACCACCACCACCACCACCACCACCACCACCACCACCACCACCACCACCATCATCAACCACCACCACCACCACCACCACCACCACAATCCTCATAAGAAGGATACAATAGTGTTGAAATTTTGGATCTGATCAGCGGTTATCATTAGTTATCTCACGCAAACAAAATTTGGGAATGACCTGTGTAACATTGTCCACTCGGGCACCAACGCTTTGCTGTACATTGAACTTTATTAAAGCTCTACGCAGAGTGAAACATAAGCTCTACGCAGAGTGAAACATAAGCTCTACGCAGAGTGAAACATAAGCTCTACGCAGAGTGAAACATAAGCTCTACGCAGATTGAAACACAAGCTCTACGCAGAGTGAAACACAAGCTCTACGCAGAGTGAAATATAAGCTCTACGCAGAGTGAAATATAAGCTCTATGCAGAGTGAAATATAAGCTCTACGCAGAGTGAAACATAAGCTCTACGCAGTGAAACATAAGCTCTACGCAGAGTGAAACACAAGCTCTACGCAGAGTGAAATATAACTGATAAAAACTTATTACTACCACTTGCATCTTTGTCTTCGTACGTGTAAGAAATACACCATTAAGTCTAAATAATTACTTAAGAAATGTATGAGACTCGAGGGAGCGTTAACCTCTTGTGGAGAAATGACTCTCACAGATTGCTTAGGTTTAATTCAGCTGGTATTAGAAATGTGGAAGATATCAAAGTTAGGTACTTGGGGTGTGTGTGTGTGTGTGTGTGTGTGTGTGTGTGTGTGTGTGTGTGTGTGTGTGTGTGTGTGTGTGTGTGTGCGTCGCGCGCGCTCACGCCTTCCAAATCTGCCGGTATTTACCCTGCAAACCTGTTAATGTTTACATTCCAAGCCTGCCTGTATATACGCTTCTAAACCTGCCTATATTTATCGTTCCAGGCGTGCTTGTGTTTATGGTTCCAAACTGCGCATTTAAGTTACATTCAGAGTTGATGCCGATGTATAACTTCGAAGGGTTTAGCATTTCCCCTTGAATATATTAATAATAATTTAGACTAAGTTACAGGATAGATTTGTCCACTCAGTAACCCTTGTGGTTTAGCGCTTCTTTTTTATTATAATAATGTCCACTCAGTGCACGCAAAATGAATAGTACAGAGTGCGCCATAAGTTCCTGATGCACTTAAATATTAGCAATGAGGATCTTAGTACAATAGGAAAAGGCATTAACAAGCAATTTAATGGAAATTAATATGAAGATTTCTTCAGTGACAATGGCAAATTAACATCTACACACCGGAACGCCCATGCTAACCTTCAGCCAAGTACGATATATGTGATAAATGGTTTAAAACCGACAAGTTGAAGATTAAGACACTTATGCAACATATGGGAATTTTTATTGAAGAAACGTTTCGCTACACAGTGGTTTCATCAGTCCAATACAAAGCAAAAAGGTGTAAGGAGAGGATAGATGGACTTGAACACATCGATTCCAGGCCGAGGGACTGAGTACCTCAAACTCCTCCTCTCCTTGCACCTTTTTGCTTTGTATTGGACGTTTCTTCAATAAAAATTCCCATATGTTGCACAAGTGTCTCAGTCTTCAAGTAAGATATACCATGGCTTTGAAAATTTAATGCCAGCCAGAATAGGAATAACAGGTAGTGCACCATGGTGGAACGGATCAAGGGGTACCGGAAGGGAAGGGAACAGTGGTAGCTGTACAAGAGATGTCAGTGTAGGAAGGAGCAACAAGTGGGTTTCCGTAAAGGTCGGTACTATTTATAGTATTTGTGAATATCATCAGAGGAGATATCTCAGACGCAACCTGTTTGCAGATTGTATAAACCTGATTAGGAGAATAACTGATGATAATAAGGAAAGGCTACAAATGGACCTAGACGAAAGTTGAGGAAGGCACGAGAAGACCAGAAACTGAGTATAGACATAGGGACAGAGGCTGCTGACCTTACTCAAGACTTAGGAACAAGCAGTGGCGAGCTTATCACCAGAGGCTCACACCAGCCTAGTAACCTCTGTAGTCAGTGATCGTTTGGTAAATATAAGAGTAGTTAACCTTCAGGCGTTATAACAAAGTCAATGATGGTCGTTTGTACGACATTAGACAGAACCAGCGGAGACGTGATAACATAAAATAGACTCAGAAATAGACTGAGAGGCAGGAAACAGGTGCATGAGGTATAGTTGGTTGTAATGAATTATTTATTTATCCTGAGGGTGTTAGGAAGTGGAATGACCTGGACGAAGTGGCGTAGGTAGACTCCTTACATAGTTCATGAGTAGATTATGACGGGACCCATGGGGCAGGGATGGAAGGAATCCGTCAAGAGGCAATACATGTGAGCACGTACACAATATTTATCACCTTCGGCCAAGAATACAAATATTTAAGCACTGACACAGTTTTTAAGATGAACTTAACTACCCATGAACCGGGTCATCCATCATACAGAATGATTAACACTCGCCTCACCCAGAGATGTATGACCCCTGCGAGTTTAGCCCTTCTCCATGAATATATTAGCATCAATAATCATAATATATAACGTATTAGCATTCTCCAGAACATGACGCCTACGGATTTATTGGTTTATATCGAACATAATATAAAAGCAATCACAATATTAAATTCTGTAGCTTAAATTTTACTTCAGATTTGTTGTATTTTTTTCTAATTCCCCCGCTGCATTTATACAAGATTACAGAGGAATTTTAACATTCCAATAATATTTTTTAAAAGCTCAGTTGAAATGTTACAACTTCTTAAGAAGTTAGGTAAGGTGTTCGTCAGGAAACGGACAAGCGTTTCCTGACGCGGGTCTTATATGTTGACCTGCCGTTGGAGCTTCTGGTCATCTGACCGAGACCTTCCACTGGCTTACCGGTCCACTCCTTTAAAAACTATGATCGTAATTATAACAATTTTATATTAGTACATACTTTGTAATACAGTTAAATATGAGAACTGACGATTTGGAGTGAATCGGAAGTGGTATTTACAAGTTATTTTTATTGGAATTAATATTTCAGTTCCTTCAATAAACATGGAAAATTGTAACATAAACAGGCCAAATATAATTTAAATCATCCATTAAGAAACATCAGCTTGAGAGTTTAAATGAAGAGACATTCTCTTAGAGATCAATGTGCTGAGAATATAAAAGTTTATCTTCATTGAATCTTGATACACTTTTTTTCCTCATTCATATTATACTGCAAATTTTCCGCAATCCTAAAAGAAAAAAAATTGTATCATTTCTTAAGAAAATGCAATTTGTCAGAATTGCTTTAAAATTTACGCTGGTAAATTGGCACCTAAACACCTCAGAATTAATACAGAGAAACTTACAATAACGATACACAAGCATTTAGTGTTTGAATTATTATTTGGGAGCACTAAACCCGTAGGGATTGTACAGTACCTGTTGGGGATGAGATGGAAGACATTCAGGCTTAATTCATGGAAGTGGAGCACATATCC